AATAACCAGAAAAGTATACGTAGATCAATAACCGTGGTACATTTGTACCCATCCAAAGATAGCTCTATAACTCATTAAAAAATTGGACTATCGTGAGGTTTTTTGTTTGAAATTAGTCTATACGGATCTGATCTAGATGTAGGAACTCAAAATTATATATACATTAAAATAATATATACTTAAATCCATGCTTAAATGATAATCTATCTAAAACAATCATAGTAAATTCCTTATAGCTTTCGAATGGGTTAAGCTTTTTTAGTTATTTTTTTATTTGGGATCTTATTTAGGTGTTCCTCAACCAATCTGCAAATTTTTGTGGCCTTAGACAACATGGGACCATCAGGGCCACTCGTGGAAGTCAGAAACTACCATGGTTTTCCTTTGGTATACATGGACTAAAACAATTATTATTGTCAATTATTCACATTTTATGAGTTTAGAGATTGTGATTGGCCCATTTTTAAGATTATTTAATACTTTAAAACGTTATTTAATGATAGTTTATATATGTACGCCAATTTAGGATTGTAATAAATCAGACTAATTCGATTATAGAAAAAGTTTCAGGCCCAATATGAAGAATAATTGGAAAATTACGGAGAATAATCATTGTTTTGTCCCTTTATACCAAGGGAAAACCAGGGTAGTTTCTGACTTGCACGAGTCGCCCTGATGGCCCCATGTTGTCTAGGGCCACAAAAATTTGCAGAGGGGTTGAGGAACACCTAAATAAGATCCCAATAGATAAAAATAAATAAAAAAGCTTAACCCATTCGAAAGCTATAACGGATTTACTATGATTGTTTTAGATAGATTATCATTTAAGCATGGATTTAAGTATATATTATTTTAATGTATATATAATTTTGAGTTCCTACATCTAGATCAGATCCGTATAGACTAATTTCGAACAAAAAACCTCACGATAGTCCATTTTTTTAATGAGTTACAGTGCTATCTTTGGATGGGTACAAATGTACCACGGTTATTGATCTACGTAGGTAATAACTTTAAAAAAATTGTAAAAATTATATATATGGAAATTATTTGTAACTTTTTTCTTCGATTATGTGTGAAAATACCTCAAGAATGATTCCTCAAAATTTGATCCAAATATCTCCATTATTAAACATTTTACAGCATTTTTATTCAAAAAAAGGTACAAATGTACCCGGTTATTGACCCTAGGGTTAAACATGAAATTATATCAGACTCAACAGATAAAGTTTCTGATAACAATCCAGAGGAATCGGATTTTTCTGAAGACTCTATTGCCGATCCACTTTTTAATCCTTCGAATTTTTCTGAAGACTCTATTGCCGATCAAATTTTTAATTCATCGCCGGCTTCCGAGGAAAATAAATCGGTTGGAAATGAGTCAGAAAATCAAAATATTACGGCGGAAAACATAGTAACAGTAGAAAAAATCCAAATGGAAACAAAAGAAATACAAGAAAGAGGGTCCGAAACCAGGTTAAATGGAAAGTTAATGAAAGAAAAATGCTTCATCAAAGTGGAAAAGCTTACGTTAGTCGTAGAGGAAAAATGGTTTCCGCAAAAAAAGTGACAGAAGTTCCTGGCTGCTCAAAGTGTCCTCATAAATGTAACACAATGATTACAAGAAACGAAAGATGTGTTATATTCAAGTTGTTTTATAGTCTTGCACAAAGCGAAAAGAAGCAATTCATTTTTCAGCAAACAGAGCGAGTTTTTTGTGCCAGAAAAATAAATAAAGATAAAGCTGGACCATCATAAAGAAACTTTACTTTAAATATTTTCTAACAATCAAAAATGAAAAAAAGTTTGCAAACAATTTTTTTGAAAACATTAGATGTATCCCAAAAAATGATGTACAATGCTTATCAATAGAAGACGGACGCTAATTCAGCTAAACCAGACGGCAGAGGAAAGTCGAGCGGGAGCAGCCGTTTGCTCAGTGGTGATATAAAAAAAGAGATTATCGATCACATACATATGTTTATTTCCGGCCGTAGAATCCCATTATTGTAGGCAAAATACACAGAAAAAGTACTTGGACTCATTTCACAATGTTTCTAAATTGTATAGTTTGCATACAGATTGGTGTAAAGATAATGATATACAACCAGCAAAACAATCAACATACCGTAGGGTGTTTAACACGGAATTTAATATTGGCTTTCACGTTCCAAAAAGTGACCGATGTGACTTATGTGAGGCGTTTACAAACAAAAACACAATTTGGCTATAACTGGAAGTCAAATCATTGAATACAATATACATATTGCCAATAAAGATTCAATGCAGAAAGAAAGAGATGCAGATAAAAATGGTAATATTCCGATATTAAGCTTTGATTTGCAAAATGTCATTAACTGTCCCAGAGCAGAAATAAGTTCGTTTTTTATAGACGTAAGCTAAATATTTATAATTTAACAGCTAAACTCCCATTAAATAATCAAGTGTATTGTGCTATATGGAATGAACCCTTGTCTGGTAGAGCTGCAAATGATATTGCTAGCGCATTGCGAAAGATACTAGACTGTGTGGTAGAGGAAAACGTTTTGACAGAGCTTATACTGTGGAGTGACTCATGTGTGCCTCAAAACAGAAATTCTCACATTTCTATATGCTTGATGGAGTTTTTTATGAAATTCTCAGTACAAGGACATTCCTATATCCAGGAAATAGATCATGTGCATTCGTGTATCGAGAAAGCAATGCGCAGCACAGAAATATATTCACCTGTTGGATTAATCCGTTTATTAAAACTGGTAAACCGAAAACAACCTTACAAAATTATTAAAATGCAAGCAACAGATTTCAGGGACTATAGTACAGCCTCAAAGTTTCTTAATTACAAGGAGGTGTCATTTTCAAAAGTAAGCACATTAAGATTTACACCAAGTTTACCTGAAATTCAGTACAAGCTTGGTCATCGAGAAACAGCCTGGCTAACCGCAAATATAAGGCTTTCGGAAGGTAGGTCTAAAGGTAAAGAAGACAGTAATACTTCCGTCTTTAAAACCAGAAGGCCAAAAGTTGTGACAACAAAACCAGTATTAGATTTTAAGCTAATGCTAAAATTTATGGCGCCCCAAGACTCGGATTTTTACAAGACGACTTTTAATATAATATAAGTATGAAAAGATTTAAGAAAAACTGCTTTCTTATTATACCAAGAAGTTATTTTTTGCAATTTTGATTTGTAATTGATTTTTGTGATTGCCTTGAAGGTTATTTTTATGTTTTTTCTAAATAAATTTTCTACCAAAAAATTTTATTTATTCAGAATGATATGGTTCCAACATACCTTAGAACCAGATAATTGAATATTTCTTGCTATTTTAAAAGGCCAAAGTACTTACATGCAAAACCTTAACTGCTGCAACTCGGAGTATATGGTTAAAATCTAATTTTTAATAAAGCATCATATAAATAATGAAAGTACAATGGTTCGTATAAAATTTCAATTATTTTGTACCAGAAATAAAAAAAAATTATAGCATTGTAAATATTGAACCTCAATTTGCCACGAACTATACTCTATTCACTTAGAACCTTGTCATTCTAAGGTCGCGATTTATTATCTTTGCAATTTCAATTGTTTTAGTTTTGGTCACCAGTGTACATATGGGTGATTTTTAAGAGTATTAACAGACCCTGTTCTATCCATTATAGCATTAATCATATGGATCGGCCCTACGCCATAATATGAAAAAACAGGCCGAAACCATTATGCGCAACCTTGCATGCTTTAGAGTTTTGGTGTGTATTGAAGTTGGTATTCCATGTTTGGGGGAATTCGAACATACTGTGTGGAGTCTGACCTTTCATATAAGACAATCTTTGTTTCATTTACCCACAATATGTTACGCCACTTTTCTAGTGGCCAGCCTTTATGAGATATTGCAAAACTCAACTTAGAGTTGGCATGCTTCTTTGTCAAAAGGGGAACCTCTCTAGGACTTCTGGCATATACATTATTTTCGATCAATCTCCGGCGTACAGTCACATCTCGGATTTATAAATTCAAGTAAGTTTTTATCAGTTCTGAGGTCGCTGAACGGTCCACCTTACTTTACCGTAGTAGACACCTATCCCCCAAAATTCTGGTGCTACGTTTACGGCCACGTTGTTCTAGCTTTTTATGTTATTGCGTTAAATATCCTTGCAGCACTGTATCCAATGATATTTTATATTACTTTCTACCTTTTGCTTCATTTCAGCTTTATTATCAATCCTCTTAATAAATAGTAAATTTTTTATAAATTTCACTAAACTAGAGAAATTTAAGAAAGCGACAGCAAATCTCTTGGGACTTTATTCGCTTTCTTGATTTATTCTTTCAAAATGTGTATACCAATGACCAACTAACTATAAGTACGTATTTGTTTGAATTGCATTTGTAAATTTATCAACTGCACTACTATTTTTATGAACACAACTATATATACCACAGTTTTAGCTTTTGGAATTATTATGTTTAAACTATGAGTGAATAAATGAACAGTTAACGCTTGATATTTTGCCAGGTTCATTCGTTAAAGCGGAAAATTATTTTAGAAAATGAAAAAACTCATTTTATTTTAACAAAAAAGTAATTAACATAATAACAATAATATGTTTACATACTTCTTTAATAAGTCAAACCTATTATTGCTTGCACCATTTCTTCGTTATATGCGATTTTCAGGGTAAAAATGCAAATAGTTTACTCATTCGTTATACCGAGCTTTGACTGGGTGTACAGCTATGAATGTTTCATCAATCTCTTGTATAGTCGCAAAAATATTTATCATCCCATTGAAAATCGTTGAATTTTAAATCGAGAATGGACCATCTTAAGCATTGGTTACAAAAATATTTATTCACTTCGGCTTGTTTTTGTAATACGCGACTTATTTTCGAATCGATTTTTTTCTGAATGTCATTAGTGGATTTCATATGCAAACATATTGGAAATACTGGGAGCAATTTTTACTTATATCAATCAAATAAAATGTAGGTCATCCAATTTACCCATCAGAGAGTGACGGTGTCACCCACCCATATTTTTCATGTGTTTTTACAAGCGATCGGAATGCTTCCTCTGCTCGGCGTCTGTGAATAAAAGAAATCCGTGATTGACTTAAGTGAAAGTATTATATGATTAAATTACCTGGTAAACTCTTTGGTATTTTTGGGTTTGCGCATAATTCTACCTTGACCCTTAACAAGACTTGCAGCAAATTGCATTAGAACAGCTTCAACCGTATATGCACTAGCCCAACCTCTCGGTGTTAATAATTCCATACAGATAGCTCCTCCATCCATAACATAGCCCTTTTCAATGTGTGGTTCCACAACACGCATAAATGGCGGGGCAAAGGGGAAATTGTCGGGAAACGTCAGATGTAATAAAATGAATGGAACATTTAATTCTATCATATCCTTTGCCAACTTGGAATCGGGATCAACGGTATGTAAACGTGCATGCCATTCGTAAAGATTATCATTTATGAGTTCCACCTATGTAGAAAAGTAGAAAGTATGCATTTTACAAGCTAACGATTACAACAAGAAATCAGCAGCAATTAATGGAACTAAAACAAAGTGCTGAGTACGAAAGGATTTTTCGAGCCATTGTTTTATGTTTTTGGAAGCACGGTGCAATAATAAAAAGTAACTGGGAGTGCCCATGGTATAATTATTACAAGGTAGGGCACAGCTACCAACTGATTACAATTTTTTCTCAAGGTGACTTGTTCCATCAAATAAAAATAGATATTTTGTGTATGTGTGAGTATTGTTTTGAATACTATGTCAAATAAATTGAAATAAATTCCAATTTAATTGAAATGAAAATTATGTTTTTAACATGTTCGTCTGGAAGCATGGTACAATTATAAAAGGTAACAGCAAATCCCAGCTGATTTGATTCCAACGTAATACTAGTGTCAATATGAATTTGACAAATTATGTTTTTAAAAATCATCCAATAGGAAAATTGGGAACGCATACAATTTGAAATTGTTCTTTATTAATGTGCTCCCGTATTCAATTTACTTAATCTGCCTGCTGGGAAAGTTTGAGGAAGCAAATCTTTCTTGAAGGAATAACTCGCTATTCCCAGCATTGTCATATGTGTTACACATATATATGGCAATGGCTCAATTAAAGGAAAGGTGTGGAAGCGATAGAAATATAAATTTGATAAATTTTCATTCATGTTTTTCAATTTTTATTTTGAGGATTCGAAAATATTCCATTTTCAAAATAAAAATAATTTGATGATAATTTGTTTGTTTACATTTTTCTGTCAAATGAGTTGACACTAGTAGAACTTACAACAACAAATTTCCATGTGGTTGTTGTATCGTTTTTTGTACAACAACACTTGCTGTTACCTTTTATTATTATACCATGGTCTGGAAGTAATTACTTTATGGGTGAAACAAACATTTGATGTATTCCCCACTGAATTTTGGGAAGAAATCATAACCTTTCATTCATTTTCGCGTTTTTAGTTTTGTGTTGAAAAAATGTCAAATAAACACAAACACATGTTACGTATATGTATTTATTTTATTTTTGGCAGAAGAAGCCACACGTGCATAGTTGCTTTTTTGTTATTCACCTCAAGCTGCCCCACCTTGTATTATTGTACCATGGGAATGTCTAATATTTTGTTGAGTGTAATATCAATGACATTTCCATTTCCATCAAATATGACTTACGGAGAATTTAGTTCCTTATAGACCTAGTAGGAAAATAAGTCATACTCATATACATAGGTATGAAAGAAATAGTGAAGAGAGTAAATATGTTTCTACTTTATGGAGTTTATATACGTTTTATATGAAAAAAATATTGAAAACGAGCCATAAAAAATGTTTATACATTTGTAATTAAATTGAAAATATTACAAAAAATTTTATTTTAAATAATGAGAATTTTCTTAGTTCGCTATAAACATTAAAATCGTGTTAAAAATTCTCTGCGTGGCTCACAAAAACTAATTCTCTATAAGCGTGTTCGTTTTAAACGTCGTTATTTGTATGAAATATAGAAACTAAGTTGTTGTGACCGGAGAAATCAGTTCTCTATTCGCATAATTCATTATAACCGGCGTGCGTTTATGTTCGAATGTAAATAGAAAATTAAAATATATATATATATATACATATATATATATATATATATATATGATAATAATATATATATATATATATATATATATATATATATATATATGGTAAATCCATGTATTTTGTTGTTGTGGTATTATAAACATTTGTAGATCTACAATATTTACAAGGTCTACAATACCAGTATACAAGCTTTCGTGAATACCGCTAATATAATACATAAACTTACTGTAAATACTGATTCGTTTTTGCTGCTTTGCATTTTTTGAATTTCTTTATATTCTTTCATAAGCCTTCTTGCGCGAACACTGAAATCAGGCATTGGGTTCACAGAAGTCGGTTTAATTCTAAAAATAACAACTATTCGCATCTAAGTGATATATATGATTAATATTACAGGTTTACTTCTTTTCTAGTCTTCTTATTCTTTTTCCCGGCGAGTCGGCTTGTTTTTTTGCCGTAGAATCCGCTTCGGCTGGTTTCTTTTCTTCTGCAAAATCCTCATTTGGAGGGTTCTTACTTTTGAAAATTTTCCGTAATGAAGAAACAACTTTCTCCTTAGAACGAGACATAGTCGCTTGCTATCGGTGGTTTAATTTATACCAAATATTCTTGGATTGTGTTCGTTTTTTGTGATGTATTTGTAAATTATTTGCAGCATTCCAACATATTTTAAAATCAGTCTAATGTTTGAAGTACATTGAAAAATCAATCAAACCTGTAAATTAATATGTATATATTATTATATATTTAATTTAAGATTAATTTACAAATTTGTTTAGTATAGAGCAACTTGGTGGTCACATATATTCTTATCATTTATTATATACTTTTTATAAATTATTTTGATTAGAAACTGTAAAACGAAAACCACTATTTAAAAGTTACTTGGATCAATTGATAAGTACTTTTTCAATAACAAACTAATACAACATTTCCAGTTAATTTGAGTCCGATTCCAAATGTATTATTCTAAATATTCAGCGCTAGAATTTTCTTGCAAATGAATCAAAATTTATACATAAACTCCCATCAAATCAAATAACTTTAGCAAGAACCACAACGGTTATAAAGTAATATCAAATCAATTATAACAGTTATTTTGTAACCTGTATAAAAACTCCATTTTAATTATTTTTTAACGGAAAAAATAAACGTTGATTTTTAGCTCCTACCAGCAATATGACGCCGAGTTTCAGCCGATTATTAATTAATAATTTTTATATTATGTCAGCCAAATTGAATCATTATTTATTGTTTTATGTTTGCAAACTCTACACAATATTGGTCTTTAATATTAACATGCGTGGAAGCTGTGTCTTCTTTAATGTAAAAAATGGGCAAAAAATAGGTTGATATAAAACCAGATTTTTTATGTTTTTCTCGGTTTAACGGTATACTAAATGGGGATTTTGTCCCTTATTATCAATTTTCATATTTAAAGCTGGATTATAAGTTTTATCTTTCAATTTTCCTTTTTAATAAATAACTTGCTGTTACCAGGAAAAAATTCATCCCTCCATAACTGCAAAACTTGACCTATGGCGAATTTTGGCAAATCTGGTATTTTGAAATGTTCGCCAAAGGCTTTCAACGCCATAAGACATTTCTCTTATCTCGTCTTCATTTGTTGAGACAAAATTGCATATCGTTGTTATCATGGACCATGTGTCTGTATGTGGTAAAAATGTATAAAAAATTGCCGACAATGTCCTCAACTGTATTTGTTCCCCATCACGCAATAATTCTTAGCTCCTACAAGTGTCTCCTCATTTACTAGACCCGATAAATATTACAAATTATGAAATGTCAAAACATACTTTACAAAAACGACGTTTTATCTAAGAACTCCACAAATATTTTTATGCGTGCAAAAATATTACAGAAACTATTTTCAATAAATATTGGGTATTACTCTATATAATATTTTACAATACTTACAACATAGGTCCAAAGCATTTATTAACGTCATTCTATTGGATTTAACAGGCTGTGCAAAATCAATCGGTTGTAAATCTTGTCTATGTAATAATATTTGAAATATAAATATTATATATGTTCCACTCCTTCCATGCATCAACCATAGAAATATTCACTGCTTCCTAACAGCCTTGGTCCTTACTTTTTTAAATGATTTTCTCTCCTTCAACTCAATCTAATTACGGAAATTACGGGGTCTTGCGAATGTATATTGTATATATACATTTATACATACACCGTCATCTTATTCATATTCCCTTCTTGATTCCTTTGAAACATGGTATATTCAGTGAGGTAGCTGCATAGGCGAATTTCTACAACAAACAACTGATGTACATTGAGATGTCAAAAAGATGTTTTACACAATTTCATTCAAAAAATGTTAATAAATGTGTTGCCAAACAAGCTCTTCAAAATTCAGAGATTTTCATTTATAATTCTGTGTTTTTTTTAATTTTTTGGTTTTTAAGTGCAACATTTTTGATTTTGTACCAATATTTGAACTGATGTGATTACCTTATTAAATCTGTCTTGCTTAGAAACATTCACTGTGAATTGGTAACCTTCAATTCACTATGCCTTGCCAGTCTTCGTCATGGCCAGGGCGACCAGCCACTCAAAATGCGCTGTCAAAATGCATTACTGTGAATTGACTTACATTATGAAAACGTAAACAAAGTCGACATTTTTGACATTATACTTGAGATTGCTACTTGGGTGACCTTAAAGGGCTATGCAGAATGCTCGCGTTGAACCATCCGTCGCGTTATATGTTATCGAAAATACAACAACCACAATGAAACGATAACACAAACCCTTGAAGTTGATGTGCGTTGCGCTTCAGAGTTGAATATATTTTAACTTGTTTGCGTGCGTTCACCCGAGAACAGAAAACTATAAATGCGAACATTCCGCTTAGTCCTTTAGTTTTCACCTCGGCAGATAAACCTAATAGAAGTATTTGTTTTCTCTATGAATTCGCTTAATGGCCGACCTTATATCCATTGGACTGTGAATTACAAGTAAGTAAAGTTGTTGTCCCCTTAAAGGGCTCCGCATAATGATCGTGTTAACGCGCAATAAAATATACTTAACTCGGGAGCAATTCGGAGTTAAATATTTTTTAACTTTTTGTGCGCTTTAACGCGATAAGAAAAAACGAGCAACGCGAACGTTCTGCTTAGCCCTTGGCTGTAGACTTTTAAATATATAAAAAAATATAAAATAATAAAACAAACTTTTAAATATAATATATCTGTCGATCAATCCATTTGTCAAATATTGAATACAAATTATTTCAATATATTTGACAGATGTACTGATCGACAGATGGAAAAATGGATTATTCGCTCTAATATACCGCCTTATTATTGTATCACCTTTAAAATTTAAAGTATTTTATCAGTTCAGATGCATGGCCCATAACGATTGCTTCGTCTTCATCTGGTCTAATCGTTCGACCTTATAATAGGACAATCGTCGACAACAAAACAGTCGATTTTTATATTATCTGCTAAAACTCAATACTCGACTGAGGTAGCCCTATGTCTTTGCAATGAATTTGCCTGAGTGCGTATGGTGCGAGTTGTGCGAGACGACGTTGTCATAAAAACGGAGAAGACTGAGTTCTGTGCAAACTGCAAAAATGTACAAAAAATAATTTAGTGACAAATAGAATTATTCGTATATTCTGGTATAATATATCTGACAATGATTCCGGTCCAAAAGTATCCGAAAACGCAATAAAAACAATAACAAAGTGTTTGTGGATAAAAAATCAGTATGTATAAGGCCAACTACATTTAATTTGGATGGTTTGTGTAAATAAATAATGTAACACTACTAAATAAGCCGAGCGATCGGAAAAGCAGGAATCCTCGCATTTCGAAGCATTTTCAGTAACAATACAGCTTCATCATTCGTTAAAATTGTCAATATTAAAATCCCTTGCCGCCCCGAAAATGTACCTCGTCCGTCTTTGGGGCCCCTAAAAAGAACAGCGACAGCAAAGGAAACCAAACAAAAAACATTTAAATATAGGAAATTATCGATTTGTGTTGTCGTTGCAGCTATGTGATAGTGTTTAATGTCATTGTCAAATGAACGATACAAACTGCGACCTTAAAAATTAGTTTCCAGACGACAAAACAGCGAATGAAACAAAAAATCCGTTCTCTTCCCATTCAGCGCCAGCCACACACTCTAAACATAAAGCAACTGTAACAACACATCCTCGTAGCACCACACGCACTTCGCTCTAGTCGGTGTTTTGGAGTTTAATCTTAAGTCACCATGGATTGGATAATTAACGACGAAATGGGACTGACAGTGGGTCATGTCGTAGGCTGGGCTGCTGCATCTGCCATGGTTATAGGCGGTGTCATCCCATACGTTCCCCAGTATTTGGAAATTAAAAAAACCCAAGACGCCGATGGGTTCTCGTTACATGTTTGCTTTGCTCTTCTTATTGCAAATTCTTTGCGTATATTATTTTGGTAAGTACCACAAGTAAAAAAAACTAGGCTTAGTTCTAGTTTAGTAAAAACGATCAGATTTTTCTGAATTTTTTTTTCCAGAGGTATGTATTTTTACCCCAATTATGGGGATATCTTTTTTTCTTGGGGGACGTACCCGGTTATTTGCCCCGGAAGTTCGTGTACGAGTACCCGGTTATATCCGTTTCTACGGATCCGGTAATTATAATATGGGTATCATTTTAAAGGTTATAAAAATACCTTTCCATTGAGTGGTAAAATGGGAGATATAGTCCGAAGGCCGGCTACACAAAAGTATATTCTATTTAGAAGGAGTTTCTTTCGCGTTAGCCGGTGTTGGCATCTGCCCATAGGAGAAAGTCTTAAATCCAAAAACTATGTATACCATAGCTCTCAAAATAGTACACATTCATTTTGTCATTCCGTTTGTGAAACATTGAACTATCGATTTCCGATCCTATGCGATCTTGTTTCAACGGCATGCCAGCTAGAGGCGTGGGGAATTGTATGTTTCGAGAGTCCACAATGGATCAGTATGTCTATTTAAATATTTTAAAGGACAATTTGAAGCAAAGTGCAACGGAGCCTAGAACAAGACAGGGTTCCAACATTATAATGATCCTAAGCATATGGCGCAAATGTGAACTTTAGTTCATTCAATGCTAAACGACCCACAGTTACTAAAAGTTTGCTATGATATCACAATCAATTATGTACAACATTCAACAAATTTGTGTTAAAAAAACATTGAGTACTTCAGGCTTAATTTTCAGTACATTTTTTTAGTTTGAAATTTTAAGTTGAATATGTACAAATACTTATTAATATATATCGCTGGCTTAACTTGTAAAGGCGGCAAGTCCATATTTCACAATATTTTAGGAGAGACAAAAAAGTATTTGCGGAGATACACGTCTTTTTTGGGGACTTAGAGCTTTTTCTGTCACTAAGTTTGCATGTTTTAATGGACTTAGGTCTTTTTCTTACAACTTGTCTATCATTATATTTTCTAATTACTGCAATAATTTTGATTTTTTACATGTTAATATTATCTAAACAAGTAAAGATTATTTTGGAATAATAATTCATTCAAAAATATGAAAAAACAAGTAAAAACGTCGCTATTTAGGCAGGTCGAATATTGGGGATAACGTTATATGGGCGGTACCCTAAAAAGTGGACCAATATTGATAAGTTTTTGTAGGAAGGTGAGCTACCCCATAAGTACCTAAAATACCAACTTACAGTCAGTTCGGCTGAAAATCAAGTGGACTTACAGCCTTTACATGATGTTAAGCCAGATAGATGTATTTTGCCTCTTTATACATAACTGTATCAAAATCTCAATTTCTCGAAAATTGGACTTATTGCCTTTACAAGTTAAGCCAGCGATATGTATAAATACTTATTATGTACAAATACTCATTAATATAATACTTATTCTGACAAATGTGTATGTTTGGATTGATGCTCATCACAACACAAAATTACAAACAAGAAAATGCTCCACTTTCTTCCAAAGGATGATGCGCTAATTGTAGTTTACTCGAATATGTTCTTGTTTATTGCCCACAGGATTAAAGTGACAAATTTAACTAATTAACGTGTAACGAATTTTATAGTTGTAAAAGCTTTTAAGATTTTCGGCATTCCAGGTACTTTATTCCATTATATTGCATTCAATTTAGTTTTCTTTGAATTCATGTTTTTATATATATTATTTTTTACTACATTATAAATTTGCATGTTCCTATATACTGTAAATTCAATTTACTTCCATGAGGAAGTCCCTGTTTCATTCGACGAGTCGTTGACTTCATGTTTTTGAATTTTACGTTCGACTGAGGAAGACTCACATATCGTTAACAATTCAATATTTTAAACTTGGATGGATGGTAGGGTGGGAAAATAGCGGGCAAAGTGCTGACGTACTATGTTAGGTGAATCTTTGTACTCAGGACCTCACCCGTAACCACTTTACGATTTCCATTTTTAATGTTTAATCGTTCACACAAACTGATTGCTGCCCATCCAGCATGTATGAAAAAATAAGAAATGAGTCATGAAACCTACATATTTCTCTGAGCATACTCTCAGTCAACTCAGGCAACTGCTTCTTAAAGTGTTTTTTCTTATGGAGTTAGTTACTCTCAAATCAATGCGAGCTGTGCTACTATTCGAATGAAAACTACGCGAATAATCACGTATTCTAATAATATAACTGAATTTCAAAACATTTCCAATCAAATCATACAATGCTATACAAAGTTCGATTCTGATTAAGATGTAATGTAGTGATCACACATTTAAAATGCAAAAAACCTTTTTACATCTTCATGTGTATGAGGAATGTCTCTACTAAGCTAAGGCATTACCATTTGTACTATTATACAGTTTACTTAAGGGAACCCCACCCATTCTCGATTTTAATTTTTCAAGATTTTCAATGGGCTGGTAAATCAATACCAATGCCTGTTAAGGTTTGTAACTTTGCACATATATATTTGCAGATTTAAAAGAGAAGAAAAATAATTTACAAAAAATTTTTGTTATTGCTTTGTTGTTGTTTTTTGTAATTAAAGAAAAGTCCTTATTTTTGATGGCGGGCATGATAACTCCTCACTGGAACATCGGAATCCGAAAATTCCAACGGTGTTAGAAAGAGTACATGTCTGGCTCTCGTATGAACTAGGATTATGGACTTCGCTCGAAAATTAACAAAATGGCGGACCTTTGAAAAAATATTTTGGAAAATCCCCGATTTTTGACCAAAAACCAAGTTAAAAAATAAGGAAGATCTTCACCGATTGGCTTTATCCTAGTTCATACGATAGCTATACACTCACAAAGAAACGTGTACAAATTTGAAATCGATTGGGTTATTAGTTTTTGAGTTATCGTGCCCGCCATTCACAAAAAAATGTTTAGAGAAAAACGCGTTTTAAGCTTGAGAAGCCCTTCAGCCGTCACTTGATGCTAACACAATAAATCGGCTATATCTTCAAGAGTTCTTCAGATTTTCACTTGAAATTTTGTAGGGACATTCATTAATTAGTGTAGATTCGAATTATATCAACAAAATTTTTGACCCCGAGAATGGGGGGGGTCCCCTTAACTGTTCGGAAGTAATAAATAAACGCATAACCAACATTACTAAGCAATATATTCCGTATTAGTTGCTTACCGCTTTGTCATTTTATTAGGCACTATGCTGACGTTATCAAGTTTCTTGTTCTTAATATGAACGTATGTACATCAGTTCGAATGTGCTCCTCAATCAATGTTTACAAATATAAATACGATCCCTTAATTCTATAGAAATTAGTTGAAACAGGGTAAATAATTAAGTATAACAAATTCGCTAAGTATTGTGATCGATCGCTTCGTTTAAGCATTAAAATAGAAAGCATAGATAGTTTAGCAGATTGATAACCAAAAAGGGGAGATTTCGTCGCTACTTCTCGACTTCGTGTACATGAGTTTGCTGAACTACTCTAATCTACTAATATATATATACATATATATATATATATATATGTGTATAACCGAGATATCATTGAGGGTTATTAAAGGTCATTTGAGCAACAAACTATTTCTGATAACAGCACAACGAGTTGTATTTTTTTTTTTTTTGAAAATTCAAATGAATATCAAATATGTATACAATAAAAATGATTCAATACTATTTCGAATATCGCCACAGATCCTCATCAGTTTCCCTAGTTTTCTCCCCAGTAGCAATTAAAAACATGGCATTGTTCACAACTGTCTTGTGACAATGAAGCAAAGACATAAACGAAATCGGTTGCCTGATTACCTAAATGCCATATTTACCCTACTATTAAATAGATTAATATGGAAATTTTCAATAAAACTATCAATATGGCTATATTCAATAAAACCACACAAAATATTAGTTTTTTTTGTATATTTGTATGTGTTGTAGTTGTTGTGTTGGGCTATTCATTTTCTGGTTCTGCTTCTTCTACATCCTAATTCAAGAAAGTTGCAACTTGAACGGGTTGCGACCATAGACAATTCGGCAATAGGTGAGTCGGCTTAGCTGGGCATATGTTAGGTATCGAGCCATCAATTCTTGGCTCAATAGGAATTGAGGCGGTTGCACCATCCTGATCTTAGTTCTTACATCTTACATGTGTTGTAGTTGTTGCTTTTGCTAGCAACTTATTGTTCCAAAGCTCCAGATTCGTCTGAATTTATACTTCCCAACAGATGCAAAGTCACGATATTTACCAAATGAAAATCATTTATATGAAATGAGATTTCAACAGGGTACAGCAAATTTCTACGGATTTTAATTTAAAATTTTACAGGAGAAGTTTTTTTAATAGATTCAGATTTAATAAAGCTATTGAAATTTAGACCTATAGTTTTGTTTTAAACTATAGTTCTAAATTTCAAAATAATAGCTTTATTAAATCTGAATTTATTAAAAAACCTTCTTCTGTAAAATTTCAAATTTAAGGGTTACGTTTTTTTTGGCGGATATGGCTCGATATATTTCATAGAAATTAAACACACACAAACATAGGTTATGTTTTACACTATGTTTGGGCATGCAGTGTTTCGTCGGTAAAATTTATAGGAATTGAAATATTTTTCAAAAACTGGTCGTTATGCCCGATATATCGTCGTTACCAGCAATATTCTTTTGTTTGGGCTGTAAAAGACAGAAATTCAGGACTTTTGGATATCTTCGTTATAGCCGATATGTCGTTATACACGAAAAATCCTATAACCAAATATGAAAAATACCTTGAATAGTCTTCAATAGAATTGCAGCCTCCTATATCTGTGTAAAATAAGTACATTTATTCAGCCATAATTTAGAATATTGTCAATGGCGTATTTTCAACACTAATTTATGTTTCTTATGAAAAGAAGGAAAAATAAATCCATTAATTTTATTTGAATTATAGGACTTTATTTAACATGCTTCGGAATGTCCGATTTGGTCCAAATATGCCCCGTTTTGTTGT